ATGTTCCTAGGCTGAAGAAACTCCAAGGAGGCTAGTTGCTAGGGAAAGAAAGCTGGGCGTTGCTATGTGATGTCATTACCCAGTGCCCACAGCCACCATTTCTGGGCTGGACTGTGGGCTGCATTTTGTGCCATGGTGTCTTGGCAGCGTTGGCTGTATTTGGTGGGGTGTTGCTCTGGGGTGGTGGTGGGGGTTGTGTCCCACTTGGGGGACGCCGAGTGTTGCTTTGTGGGCACCAGGTCCATGGTGCCATTTCTCCGCAAATGGCCAGTGTGCGTAACGGCAGCTCCTGTGTGGACAGTCTGCCCCCTGGTGGTCAGTATGCTTCATAGCGACTGGTCGGATAGATACTTATCATATTAGCTATATATATATATATATATATATATATATATTAGAGGCCTGGTGCACAAAAATTTGTGCACTGGCAGGGAAGGAGGTGTGGGAGGTTGTCCCTCAGCCCGACTTGTGCCCTCTCACAGTCTGGGAATCCTCGGGAGATACCACCTGCTGGCTTAGGCCCGCTCCTGGGTGGCAGATGGCAGGCCCGATACCTCGGTGCCTGCCTCGCCTCCCCGGGTTGCGCACATGGCAGGGCCGATCCAGGGGTTGGGGTGCCACCCCGAGTCGCACACACGGCAGAGCTGATCCGGGGGTTGGGGCGCCGCCCCGGGTTGCAGATAGCAGGCCCGGATGGAGGCGTGGCAGGTGGGATGGCGCTGCCCTGCCCTGCCTGCACAATGCAAATTAGCCGCCATCTTTGTTTGCAGTTAATTTGCATATCTCACTGATTAGCCAATGGGAGGTGTATTGAAGGTACGGTCAATTACTATGTTTGTCTATTATTAGATAGGATTAGCACTCAAATACATCTTTGGGCTTAATAGTAAACCTTTAATTTTTGTTAGCATGCAGGTTATAAATATTTGGAAACATTTCCATACTACTTATTTAAAATATTTTAATCTTGTCTAGTTCTCAATTTCTCACAGGCTTTATCATCATTAATCTATTATAACATATTTATGGAAAATTTAGCTGTTTCTCTCTCTCTTGTTTTGTTCTCCATAATCTCTATTATTCTCTCCTCCCTGGAGCACGTCAGAAGGCATATATCACTATAAATTTGCTCAGTTTTGCCATCAGTGTCTGAATTATAACAGGATATATCTATATGTATAATTTTTTGAATATAAAAATATAATTTATTTCCTTCTTAATTTTCCTCAATTCCTTTTGAGTGTGGCTTCAATGGAATTACCTTAGCAACATTGCACTATTGCAGAAAAGAATACGCCCAGAATTAGCAACATAGACCATTCAGGAGCATTTGAATATGTTTGAAATATAGTAGTTCAATTGCACACAAAAGGGAAACAGTTTCTAAAGAGATTCTGTCATTTTTGAAAACATAAGCAAAGAATAGTTGTCAAACTGTCACAAGGTTAATGACTTCATCTTAATAATTTTGATAAATGGCAAATATTTCACCAATGCTATAAAGACATGCAATAAATTTTAAAACAATTTACAATTGTTTTGCCTTTTCATCCCCCCCATCCCCACCCCAAGAAAATCTAGCAATGCCTCCTATTTCAAAAATATTTCTTTAAGATCATTTAGCTGATATTCCCTCATGTACAAAATATATCAATTGCATAGCTGACTAATAAATTGATCTAATTTTATCAGCAAAATTAAATATTCTCTCTTATCTAGTTAGGGGTTCTAAAGGTTCCTGTGTGAAAACCTCAGCGAATGAGTGTTCTGCATACTAGTTCGCTTTATTAGATGATTATTTTTAAGCTAATTCCTGCTTGGAGAGCCATATATTATTTCCTTTCTTAGAGAAAACCATTATGTTTAAGATACATGAGAAAGATATGTGAGATCCTCAAGTAGAAACATAGTTTTAAATTAGACATATGCTCTCAACAGAAAAACAAAAGCAACCCTCTGGAGTGCAGGAAATCTTAATCTTTAAAGATCTGTTTATCACTTATTCCAATCCTATTGTTTGACAGAGAGCTCATTGGAGATGCACCCAAGACTAGGAGCCAGATATCTGTCATTTTTGCCTGGCTTTGTACTGTTCGGCTTTATCTGTAGGGTGTCTTTATGGTCAGACATTCTGGGGTCAGATATTTTCAGGGTGAATGGTCTGTTAACATCTTGTCCTGGTCTCATTTGCATGCAATGCGAAGTTGTAGAGCTTGGAGTTTTAATTCCTAATACACAAGCACTGATTGAAGATTGGGCTTCAAAACGTAGCTCTAATAGCCATGGCCTTGGAAGTTTAGTGCTTCTCAGAGTAAATGTTGATGCTTGGCAAGGTCCTAGGAAAATGTGATCTGGAGCCTTGTCCAAGTTTTAATTGATTGCATTTCAGTTACAAAAAGATTTTCAGACATTTCTAAGTGAAGGACAGGGAGGCTTGAAGTAATTTTGTGAGTTGGGAAATGACTACAATTTATTTGCAGGGTAGGACTAGCCAGTAATGGTTTGAATACGAATATAATTGAAAATTAACAATGTTGCTGAAATCCAGGTTTTTATTTCTATTTGTGTTGGAAGTTTCAGGAGGAGGTTAACAGGTAAATGGGATCTGGAATTCAGGGGACTGTATTGGCCACTAAGCAAGCAGCTGTGTACCTTGGAAGTCACTTTACATCTCTGATGTTATCTCATTGTACATTAGGAAAACAAGAAATAACTAATTATTTTTGTTAATCTTCACCCGAGGATATATTTTTTGCCATTTATTTTCAGAGAGAGTGGAAGGGAGAGTGGGAAGGAAAGAGAGAGAGAGAGAGTGAGAGAGAGAGATTGGTTGCCTCCCACACACACCCCAACCATGGCCAAGGCTTGAACCCGCAACCCAGGTACATCGTGCCCTTGACTGGGAATGGAACCTGAGACCCTTCAGTGCTCGGGCTGACACCCTAACCAATGGGAACACTGGCCAGGGCAAAAATTAACTAATCTTTAATGAATTTTTTCATTGCTCATGATAAATGCAGCAAATAGTTATTATGTGTCAGGCATCATTCTAAACTGCCTTGCATGTTTTAAACTATTTAATCTTCATAAAAACCCATGATGTCATTATTGTTATAAGCCCTACCCCACTTCCTAAATGAGGAAACTCCAGCAACATAGAGATTAGATCATTTGCCCCAAGTGTCACAATGAGTTGGGGAAGAGCAAAGATGCAAACCCCAATGACCTAGCTCCACAGCTTACACTCTTAAACCCTACACCCTATGCTCTGGTTGTACTTAAGAAATAAAGAGAGGCTATTGGGACATTCTGGATCTCATGTAAATCAACCTTATGGCAAAAAGCACTTTGTTGTTCCTTACCAAGAAATCAGTTTGGACCTAAAATTTTTGATTTATGTTAATTGAACTCTTATTTTTTCAGTGCATGTTTATGCCCTGAATAGTCAAATGGCATCATTCCAATGCCTTCATCTCCAGACAGGACTTCTCTCATATAATGGATTTATGTACCTCTCCATTTTTGAGCCTTTAAGAATCTTTTAAAGACCTATTAGGATTTAAAGACCAGTCCTCATCTGTCTTTCAGGTGAGGACTGATTCCTATACACAAAATCCCATTCTAAAAATACCCCTACAAGAGTTTTTATTCTAGTTTTAAAAGGTCTATTTACTGACAGCAATTAGTATTCATGATGCCTTTCAGGATGGTAGAGAAGGGCATTTTCAACTTCTGCAAATATTCTCACTTTTCTAATTTCCCTCATGCGTTTCAGTCTGCAGATATTTGGTTCCAGGTTTACGGTTTGTATGCCTTTAAGCCACAGGATAGAGTCCTGTGTGCATTGCTCATGTAAATGTCATGCTGCATGTAAAGTGACAAGAATTTCACCATACTTTGACATGTGGTGAAGCATTAATTTAGGGATATACATACAAATGAGTTGAGGGAAAACATTTTGCTGTCAGGTAGTTTGGGAAATGACCATAATGAACATTGTTGGCATTTTTGTGACCTATAAATGCGATAGAAAGCTTTACCCCAAAATATACTGAGGTCAGCAGCAGCAAAGCATTAACTAATGGGTAATTAAACTACTGGCAAAATGAATCATACTAAAGCTTCAGAAGAATAAATTACTATTTACTGATGTAGAATAGATTACATGATTATTGCAAGCCACAGCATATGAGAATGTAATATCATTCATAAAATACGGAATGAAATAGACCTATTTACTGCAAGTTATTATTTTGATGCACATTTGTTTTTAATTAGTGGAACAAATGTTAATGGCAAAAAACTTGGATGCCCCGGCGAGAGAAGAATATTTCTCTGTAGCAAGAGCTGGACTGGGAATTCAAAGCATTAACAATTATTTTGTATTTACTACAGCTTGCCTCATTATAAGAGTTTGTACCCTTTGGAATGTTGTGACGCTTTCTAATGCTCTTTAACTGTTCTTGTCAAAATTTTGGCGACTCTGATTTAAATGAAATATGTATAGGAGAACACCAGCGGGGAAATGATGAGACAGGCGGACTCTGTGGGGTTGGATAATACCTCCTCAGATGCAAGTCTTTGCCTTGCAATTAAGTGTAAGCTCTTCCTTGGAGTAAGCATCATGTTTCTTAATCACCTCTGGGTCTCCAGCATTAGTAAATTTTCAAAAGTTTTCAAAAATTCAGAAACTGGAGAAATTTGAGCACCTGTTCCATCTTCCATGCATCTTCTCTTCCCTCTAATTTTCATCTCTGATATATTTTTTTTTAGGCTCGCTAATATAATGTTTTGGTTTCCGTCTCTATATCCATCCAAACTCAGCAGATTAACCCATGTATAGGTTTAGAACTGATCTTGAATTTTAAGATTGATGTAAGAATGTGATAAAAACTTGTAACAAATACTTAAAAATTTACATGCTTTAAATTGAAACATGGTTATTGTGATTCTACTTTCTGATGATCCATCCAATTTTGTCTTCAGTTTCTATCACCAGGTATTAAGGCCTTGAATACAGTTGTTCCAGTTGTCCAGATCACAGTCTTCAATGTCTGTTTCAAAGACATTTGTTGCTGGTAATAATTCCCACCTTATTATGATTGGATCAGTTCCTTGCTTTATCTTTCTTGTCTAGACTATGAACTTTCTAAGAGCAACAGATGCATGAGCTCTCTCTAACTGAAAAATATTGGTCAGAAGCTTACCAAATCCATTTCTTATGTCTGGTCCACTTTGTAGATCTTCATATTTAGGTCAGACAATGAAACAGATTTTTTTTTTTAAAGCAACAAACTTCTTTTAATTTATTCAGAAGTGGTCTGTCGCTACATAAAAATCTAAACTACATAGCAATGGCAAGCATTTGGTGACAGACTTCAAAGAAACAGGTATTGAAGGCTGGAAATATGTCAATTCATATAATTCACTGACAGCACAAGTTGAAAAATCTGCCATATTGGGAGGCAGACCATATGCCTGTTCAGCCAATGTGTCTATGGGAAGTGAATTAAAATAATGAACTGTTAGTGTATGTGGCTGGTATTAATTGATGTTGGCAAATATATAGGTAACCTCAGGAAAGACTTGACTAACCTAAAAGCACAAATAAATGGACATAGAGAAAAATCCAGAAAAAAGGTCTTTGAAGAGTTGGAAAAGTTGACTGTTGCTAGCTCAGGTAAGATTTGGAGATAAGATTTGATACCAAATATGACTGAGAAAAGCTGGTGAGACACAGAATTCTATTGAAAATAATCTTCCTTGCCCTAACCGGTTTGGCTCAGTGGATAGAGCATCAGCCTGCGGACTGAAAGGTCCCAGGTTCGATTCCAGCCAAGGGCATGTGCCTTGGTTGTGGGCATATCCCCAGTAGGAGATGTGCAAGAGGCAACTGATCGATGTTTCTCTCTCATCGATGTTTCTAACTCTCTATCCCTCTCTCTTCCTCTCTGAAAAAAAAACAATAAAATATATTTTAAAAAAGAAAAGAAAAAAAAAAGAAAAGAAAATAATCTTCCTAGCCAAATCTGATAGCCTCAAGGAAGCAGCAATTAAGGTTGGATTGGCCTGTTGGCAGAAAAGCAAATTAACACATCTCATTTGGGAACTATATCCATGAAATGACTTTGAGTATGTTTGTTGTACTTCATACTAATTAGAATAAGAAAACAATATGCCAGGACTAAAATCATCTTACTAAACTTTAAATCAACTATTGGAATGTCAGCTTTCAATGAGCAGAAAGTAGGTTTTGGAAATTTTTCACTTCCAGGGTGGGCAGAATTTCCAAAGTTTATTTTAAGTATGGCTATGGAGGATTTTGACATGGGAGAACCATGTCTCCAACTCAGAAGCCCAGGAATCAAAAGAACCATAGATGAAGATGTCCTTTCCAAAGCACAGAATCAGGTTTGTCCAGTAGAATTTTAGAATTGCTATATACCGATAACTGCTCTGTGGTTTCCAGTTTTTTCCCTTTTCTGAATGGGAAGATTTATTGCAGTTACATTATCTCTGTCCTACCACTAAGCAGACAATGTCAGAAGGAAGCCAATAATTTCTCTTTTTTTGTTTGTTTGTTTTTGTTGTTCATTAGTCACAAGACCATGAGAAGCAACAGGAGGCAAGTTGAAGAGGACTTTGCATCATCAAGAGTCCTTGAACTTTCAACTGATTGCAATAAATGCTTAGGACTGAGTTTTCCTTGGGTGTAGATTAGTATGGGATAAAAAGCTAAAGAGATATTTCTTGACTATAAAGGAGAATTGTGGCAGAGATAATGGTATATGTTCACCAAACCCATCTCTTTTTCTTTTTGGGCATGCTGATGGACTAATTTTTCTAGCCAATTTGCAATGGATAAAGCTTTATGACTGGCTGCTGTTAAAGGAATATGGGCAGAAATGTTATTTACAGCTGCTATTTCTACACCACAAAAATCACCCCTGAACAATTGTTTATTCTCTTCGTATTGTAGGTCATCCTTTTAGTTTATGTGTTCAAGGTGGTGGTATCATAAAATGGAAGGAGCCAAAATTGTGAAGCAGAGCCCTCCCAACCCCCATCACCATGTGATTAGATTATGGCATATGCAATTGATAGCTTTTATTAAATGACTGAAACTTTAAGTTTTTTTTACCCTACCCTAAATATTACACACAATATTTTCAACTTTTGTTTTTTTCACAATATATTGCTCTTGGATTTACTTTGTATTTTTTTAATACAAGCCTTTCCATTTCTTAACTTTTCTGAAATTCTCTTACCTCATGGTGTTGTTGAGGGTATTAAATGAAAAACTGCAGGCAAAATCATTAACACCATGTCTATTTAATCACAATAACTGAGTAAATAGTAGTGAATGCCATTAAATTGCTTCTGTTGTAATATTCTAAAGATAGTAATTGTGCCTATGGAGGGAGAGTGGCCTTTGTGTTATCTATTGGTGTGTAACAAACCAATCCAAAACTTAGTGGCCTAAAATTACAATAACATTTATTTTGCTTACAAATTTAATATTTCGGCAGGCCTATTAGGGTAGCTCATTTCTGCTCCATTCAGCATCAGCTGGGGCATCTCAAAGTCAAAGGGCTGGAATCATCAGAAGATTCACTCATTCATGTATCTAGTGGCTAATTATTCTGACTTGGTTTAAACCTTAGCTGGTGCTGTTGACCATAAAACCAACTAGTGGCTTCCTTATGTGACCTGAGCTTTCTCACAATGTGGTGGTTGAATTCCAGGGGGACACACAGAGAGAATAAGAGAGAGAAAGGGAGAGAAGTGGAAGCAGTGTTGATTTTCCTAATCAATCCATGGAAATCATGCAGTTTCTCTTCTTCACTCTCTTCTTCTCTGTTCTATGTGTTAAAAGCACATGCTAAGGAGGTCTGTATTCAGGGAAGGAGCGTCAACATAAGATTGTAAGACTACATCGGGTGAGATAATCATCTTTGGAACATGTATCTACCGCACTGGGTTTATCGTTAATTCTCATTTTCATTTATATCCCTTACTGTGATAGATGATGAAAATTCAGTCAGTTTCTGATTTGAATATTGGGTCTAAGTCTTTATGATTATTATGTTTGTTATTATTATTTATGTTTATTATTATTTTATGTTTATCGTGATTATTTCTTCTGAATCTTCATAGATATTTTAATAGGAATATTAGAAAAGCTGGATATAACACTGTTCATCACTTGGACCGTATGATGACATGGACCATACTGGATCACTTTTGAACCTTTACCCTGATGCTAAAATACAGATCTCGTCGGGAAATATCACCAAATCAATGTGACCTAAATTTGGTGAAATAATGAAGATATACTTCCTTGTGGGTAATAATTCCTTTCCCATTTTAATTTAGCAGCCTGCCACTGCTTTGTTCATGGCTATAACTTTTAAGGATGGTAGAATCTGGGCCCTGGGCTGGAAATGTCGTGGAGGTTGGAGTAGTGATCTATGCTTTGAGCAGCCAAATCTAAATCAACCTTTGAAATATTACTTGGGTTGGCAAGCTGCAGCCTGGACCAAGGACATTGCTGCAAGCCAAAAACTTTTGGAACAGTAGATAAAGCTCTGACATTCACACCAGCTGTGACTTTGATTAAGTCACTCTTCTTGCTTTTCTGGATATTTGCCTTCCTTCTGGCCAGACCCCCTTACACGCCTTCAGAACAGGAGAGACAGAGAGGGCTGATGAAATAAGCTTTTACTCACTAGTTTTATTAACAACTAAGCAGCATTACATGATGACTTGTCAGAGTCTAGATCACCTGTAGAGTCTGGAGCATGTTCAACCCAACAAGAAAAGCCCAGTAAAGAAGCTCTTTAACAGCATGAGGTTAGAACCATATTTGCTAATAATGATAGCTAATATTTGTTGGATACGTAGTATAGTCCAGGTTCTATGCTAAACATTTTACATTTATTACATGTGATTTTCTTAAACAGGTGAAAAAGATGGATGTTTTATTACCCTCATTTTAGGGGTATGGAAACTGAGGCTCAACAAATTAAACAACTTATTCAAGTTCACCCAGCTGACTGACCGAGAAGAAATAGAGTCTTATTCCAAAGTCTAGACTTGAAAACACTTCATTATACAGTACTGCAGATATGATGGAGATCTGGTTCAACTCCACTGTTTTTATGATGAAGTCATTTAGGCCCAGAGGCAGTAAGACCTTCCTAGGGTCACAAATCTAATTAATCATTTAGTCAGACCTCTAGGTACCGTGTTGAAATACTTTGTGGTTCTCCTCACACCATAACACTCTTTAGATTTTTAACTCCACTTACAGTAGTTATATCCCTAATAAGGAGCTACATCCCTAATAAATTACCAAGCCATAATCTAGATAATTAAATATTAGAGATATATTTCTGAATTTATGTTTTGTCAATACTTGAGTTCTTATAAAATTATTGCTTAGTAAAAAAAAATATAACAAATAATGGCAACACCTCTGCTTGTCTGTTTCACAGAGATATCTTCAATATCGATGAAACTGTCTGCAACGTAAACAGTATGAAACACTAAACATTATTTAGATAAACTACTAGATGCCCATGTCACTGCTGTGTTTGTGGCTGAGATTTCTGGCTACCAGCTGACCACCGTGCAAAAATCCAACAACCACAGACACTCCCCTCCCACTCACGCAAAGTGGTTCTTCCTCTTCTGGTTAAGCAGTTAGAGTAGCGTAGAGTGTTGTCGTTGTTGGATTTCTATACTGAGGGTAGCAGAGAGCAAAGAAATGATCGTTGTCACAAATTCAGCAATAGAACAAGCTTTACCGGCATGTTTAATTATTTCCTATAGCTACATCAAATTGCTATAGGAAATAATTAAATCTTGCATTTCCCCAAGGTTTAACCAAAAGCCCATTACTACATAACGAAAATTACTGGGATAAAGCCTAAGACATTGCCATTTGCCGGTTTCCATCTAATAATAAAATAGATATATAAATCCTTTCCCATCTCATCCCAGCTTCTTGTTGACTATGGAAAGCTGGCTTCAATACGTTGCTCCTGTATGTAAGCTCTGTATGTAAGAGAAAATTTTAAAAAGTAGTTGGTTGTCTCATAGTAAGTTCCCCAAGATTTTTTCAGACTTGAAATAATTATATGCACTTAATCTGGGGAGTGTTTTTAGAATAGGGAAGGAAATGTGTTCTCCAACTTCATTAGATCAGTATCATGTCCTCTCGTACATGATTTTCCCAGATCAGTTTCATAGACTGTTAGTCTTGGTCCATGTCCTTTTTGTAGCACACCTGAGAATTTCTTTAATTCAAGGCACTTGTCTGAACACTTTCCTGAGAAAATAACATTAGTGCTTATTCACATGAAAGACTGATAACAGTAACTCAGTGGTTGGTATATAACCATGACTTCTCCTAAGAAAGTAAACTCCAGATTTTCAGTGGCCAAAACACTGCCCAGGAGGGCTGGCTGGTGATGTGGGCAGCATCCTTGATGTTCTTACATCAATTCCAAGCATACTTGCCCCTCATCCTAGTGATGAGAGCCAAGTTAAACCATTTACTTTGTTCTCATTGTTTTGACAGTTCGGAAATCTGTACAGTGCTTGCCAAATACCCATTTGCTTTGAGAAGAGGAAAAAAAAAATCATGCCTTTTTCTTTCAGTCACCCTTCCTGTCTTTATGAAAAACAATTGTTTTTCTTAGTCACTTTCTTCTTTCTCTTTCTTGTACAGCATAAGTGTTCTTCAGCTTTTTTCCCCCCTCTACCTGACAGTCATTTCTTGTCTCATTTTGGCTATTTCTTTCCATCTCATTGTCAAACTGTCTCTCATGCTCTTGCATAATCAGTTCTGGACTTGTTTGATTATATCTATTTGCAGTTACTTCAAATATCCAATTTTGAACTTTCAGCTATGAATTAAGCAACATTAAATTAATTTCAACTATTGAAAATCCAGTTATAAACATAGGTAATGCTTTTAAAAAATATGTTTTCATTGATTTTAGAGGAAGGGTGAGGGATAGAGAGATAGAAACATCGATGAAAGAGAAACATCTGTCAGCTGCCTCCTGCATGCCCCTTACTGATGATAGAGCCTGAAACCTGGGCATGTGCCCTGACCAGGAATAGATCTGGGACCTCTTGGTTCATGGGTCAATGTTAAACCACTGAGCCACACCGGCCGGGCAGTAATGCATTCTTATCTACATTCGCCTGTGTATTTAAACTACTTCTTAGAGGCCTGGGAATTTTGGAAGATTCATTAACCATTTCAGGTCTATAAGGCTAGTAGGGGGCTTCTTCTTATTGTTATCTTAAGTATTACAAAAGTTAGATATTTTTGAATTCATGGCAATTTTAAAGATCTACATATCAGTCAAAGTAAAAAAATGTTAGAGACAAAATGTTAAAGGTAGCAACTCTCTACCTTTGCCTAAAATATACCCCTTTTTAAATCTGAAAGTGCTGGTTGTATTTCTTTTATGACAATAGAAAAGCTGAGAAGATGAGTTAGGCATTGTCCTACAAATGGTTAGTTGGAAAAGCAAGCTTCTCAAATCCCAAGTTGGGAAAGGTCTGGACTATGGAAGCAAAGGGTGAAATGTGAGGAGAGATGGGTATTTCCTACTGGCTGGGTTTGATAGGCTTTCATTTTTAGAGTTCCTATACCTCATATTTGTTTTCCCCCCATTGGAGCCCAGGCCTCTGGCCCCTGGAAATGGATGGGAAGTGCCATTCGAAGCTGAAATTCTGAATCCCCTTTTCACAGGAAGAGTTCAGTATGGCAGTTCACTTTTACAAAATTTTCAGGACAGGATTTGCTTCAGCCGCTTTAGCTATCTGATTGTCTCCAGGGAAAATGCAAACTGTGTCCTAAATAAATAACTTGCAACCTGAACTCTTAGAACATAGTCCACGTGGAAGCTAGGGGGTGCCTTTATGCTTAGAAATATCAAAGAAATCCTTGTTGGCTTCTCGGCAAGCTCTCTGGAAAATCATAACACTTTGTAGAAACCCAAGCAGAAGTCAGCAGGAAGCCCGAAGGCACACATTGTTGAACTTTTGAACCTGAAACAGCATCGGTTTTCTGAGTTCTGTTTGTTGACTTCTCTTTGATCTCATCTTATTAGCAAGATAATACCCTAACGCTTTAGCATGTTTAAAATAAACTGCTTCTATAATCCTCCAGGGAGCTCAGCTTAACGTTAGCCTTTTCCAATCTCCGAAGCTCTTTACCACAGTGTGTACTCACCTTCATGGAAATTAGGTAGTTCTCACTAACAGGGAGTTTACTTTTCGGAATACACTCTTCAGAGTGATATTTTTATTTACTTTCATCATTTGAATATGTACCTTTTTCTAATTGTGTTATTACCTTCGAAAGGTTAGTAATAAAGCTAAAAGGACCAAAAGGAGTAGGAACCCTATCTATAGTGATGGTGGTGGTGAAGGCAGCCTTTGGCTATTTTGCAATTTGGACAGGGCCTTACATTCAGAAAGGGTCTCAGATTTACAACACTTTCTATAATCTCAAAGCAGGAAAGAATATGCAGCTACATACATAAAATATAGGATAGAAAGATGATCATTTTGCACTTCAAACTTGTGTTTGTTACTGAACAATATCAAAGCAGCACACTATCAACTCATATTTATTTCAAAATACTCATCCTTTAATTATCTTGCAAATAGCAACATATGTTTGCATTGTAATATTTATTTTAAAAGCAAATGGACACAGACAATGATGTGGTGAAGGCCTGGATGGGGGGACAAAGGCAGGAAAGTGGGGAACATCTGTAATACTCTGAAAAATAAAAGTAAATTAAAAAAACAAAATAAATAAAAGCATATTTTAATATAAATATTGAAAACCAAGTTGCAGTAGTGGATAGTATTAGTAGCATTTCTGTAACTCATTTCCCTGCTCACATTTCCAGATATCGCCCAGATTTTCTTCAGTTCAATTCATTGCGCCTCCGCCCACTCCACCCTCAATCCAGGAATGGCTGCAGTTGGCCTGAATGAGTCAGCATGATTCATTCTTTTTAAAAAAAAAAACACACACACACACACAACACATATATTTTTATTGATTTCAGAGAGAAAGGGAGAGGGAGAGAGAGAGAGATAGAAACATCAACGATGAGTGAGAATCATCGATGGGCTGCTTCTTGCATTACCCCCTCCCCACCCCCCACTCGCTTCCGCCCCCACTTCAGCAATCAACCTTGCAACCCCAGGCACGTGCCCTTGACCAGAATTGAACCCATGGTCTGCAGGCCAACGTTCCATCCACTGAACCAAAACAGCTAGGGCAGCATGATTCATTCGTGTAGTCATAGTCACAGGTGCAGGGATAGACAAGACTTCTGTGGTCCATATTGATTGAGTTCTAGGACTCTTCCTGGAAGAGCTGTTAGATTCCTTCTCCTAAGAGATGTGAAATACTTGAAAGCCTGAGCTGAGAAGAGTTTTGCCCAATTCAGGAATGTGTAAGGGTCTAAGAGTTTGTGATATTGAGGGCTTAGTATCACTGCCCTCTGCTTTACATTCTTAATTTGATTCCCCCCAAATGGTGTGAAATGCAGAACAATGTTAGCTGAATAGGATGTGACCGTGATCTAAAAATCTATTGTGCATTTTAATCCTTTTGAGGAGTCCACCCTAAGTATAAGTTAACTCTAAACCAATGGTTCTCAAACAGGCCCATGTTACCCTCTAGAATCTAGAATCTAGATGACATTTGGCAATGTTTGGAGCCATTTTTTTTTTGTTGTTGTTGTTATCAAAATTGCAGGAGCGATGCTTCTGGTATCTAAGTGGGAGAGGCCAGGAAAGCTATTAACTATCCTCCAGTGCCCTAGGCGGCCCCCACAATGAAGACTTATCTAGCCTAGAATGTTAATAGTGGCAAGTTTGACCAACCCTGCTGTAACCATGCAAAGTAGCAAATGAAATTGATGGTCTAGCTGTTGCCCTTTCACTCTTGTTCAGTCTTTTATTTTCTGTCTCTTAAGTGTACTGGGTTAGCTGGGTTATTTATGGTTATTTCAGAACTTCCTGGTTTAGGTTTGATTTTTCTTTGTTATGGGAAAAAGTGGATAATTCTAAAAATGGACATAATTTGTTCTATGTTACAATTAGGCAGTTAACAAAAATAATCTCTAAGCAAGGGTGACTGTATTATCCTTAGCTGCTTCTCTCCCTTTCTCTCTTTTAACCAAGTTTCTAAACAACGAGTGCTTATGAGACACTACTCATTTTTTGGTTTGTTTCGTTTTTTGAAAGATTCAAAGTTGTGTAAGATTTTTTTTTTGCTTTCTAGGAACTCAAAATCTAATTGTTCACATGGGAAAACATTCAGATTTCTTTAGTACAAGGGAGTGCCTGTATTTCCAATAATGACATCACCAGAATCCTATCCAAATGTACACTAAAGAGGATACACTTGGAATCCAGGTACAATTTACAGTTTACTTACTCCCAGGGTAAATGCTGTTGGGCAAAGACTGTAAAGCAGGGGTCCTCAAACTTTTAAAACAGGGGGCCAGTTCACTGTCCCTCAGACCGTTGGAGGGCCAGATTATAGTTTTAAAAAAAACTATGAACAAATTCCTATGCACACTGCATATATCTTATTTTGAAGTGAAAAAACAAAACGGGAACAAATACAGTATTTGTATTTGCATGTGGCCCGCGGGCCATAGTTTGAGGACCCCTGCTGTAAAGGGTCACTCCCAGCTGGTCCCTTTCCTTTGGTGACATCTCTAAGACAGCCGACTTCTTGTGTGCTTTTAGGGGCTTAGAGGCAGCTGGCTGGGGGAAGGCTGCCAGCTTTAATCATTCACCTTCCCCTGTGCAAAGACAGCGAGGAGAAAACGCAGCTGAACAAGGCTGAGAGGGCATGAAATTGCGTTAAGCAACACTCATGACAATGACTGGATTTGCTATTTTAGAGTAAGTGACTAAATGTTTTTTTTGCAATTGTAATTTTCCTGTGCTGTTAAGTGTAAAGGTGACCGCTCTGTGGTGGGCTTTCAGCAGTTTGTACTCGACAGCTAATCAGGCTGATTCATTTGGTCAGGTGGGCAGTAAGCTCAGGTATAAAGCAACATTGAGTTCCTACCTCACTGAGATATAAGACCATGTTTTTTTTTTCGTTCTTCTTTTTGAAGGAAAGAAATTGCTGTGCAGACATTTTAGGAAACGTTGGGAAGACACGGAATTTTATATTTGTAGTAGGAAATATAATCATCCATGGACCAAAACCAGTTCCCTTATTGAGTTTGCTAGCAGCCTTTTAATAAATGATTTAGGCTGCTATCACCAATGGGAGTCAGAGATTTGGTACAGACCATCCTGAGTTTATTCTAGCCCAATCCCAGGGCTGGTGGAGTGTGAAATACACGTTTACCTCTTGCTAATTGCATCAGAGCAGACCAGGGGCCAGTCAGCAATGGCTCAGTATTACCAACTTTCCCCACAGGATGGCATCCATCAGTTAAAAACAAAATTTACAGTATTAGCAAAACTCACAAAAATAGAGATGGATTAAATTTTCTGTTAGGCTTTGCAATGTTTAGGGTTTATTTTGATACTCATTTTTAACTTGATCATAGTGAGTGAGGGAGTGTGGGTGTTTGCCAGGTGCCCGCACGGAACCAGAGATGGAACTTGTGGTATGTGCCAAGAGAGAAATGGACAGTTGCTAACAAATAACTCTTAGTGTTTCAGAGCCCCTGATCACCAGACGGCCATTTGTGGAATTAATTTTTCCTCCTCAATCAGAAGATTAGCAACTATCAGGAGATCACATCAGAACAAGCAGAATCTCATGGCAAATTAAGGAGCGGAGTACCAGATGATTCGGGATTTTGGTTTATGATAACACTGTGAATATTTTATAGCACGAGAATGATAAAGGATAATATTTTAGCTACATGACTATAGAAGTCACATGGACCAACCCTGAATGTTTCTGATGGGGAAACAACAACAACAACATTCTAGAGAAAAGGAGAAATTAATCTAAGCCAGGACTAGAACAAAGACAGTGATCATTTGATATTTCCACTCAGTGGGCACTTAGCCAGTGGGAAGGAATGAGCAGGTTTGTCTTAAAGCTATGTGCTCCCAGAAAATGTATTTTCAAAATTAGAGAAATAAAAATAGCAAATGTTTTCTAAAGATGATTTATTCACTGGTAAGTTAAAGAGAGAGAAATGTCAATTGCACATATTAAAGAAAGTGATTATTAAAAGCACTTGGGGTAGCTGGGGGGGGGGGGGGGTGGATAGAAATGGGCTATGGACACTAAGAAGCTCCCTCAGGAACTCGTTGGCATCTCCTCAGAACCAGGTCTCCTACCCGTTGTCAGATGCTTTTCCACTGCATGAGTCTTTCTTGAACCTTTCAAAGTCCGGTGCGGTGAATAGCTGCTGCATTCCCTGGAGATGATCTCCCGTTGTCCACCTCTGAGGCTCCTTCTGTGAGCCTGCTGTCCTTTTATCCATTGCGTCTCACGGGCCTTTGATGGCTAAACTGTCAAGCACACTTCCCCATCACTTTGGAAAAAACACCCAAGTCTTCCTGGAGGAATTATTTCCTCATGAGGGAAAGCCAAGTTACAGTTCATTTTTTTCTGCTGCCAACTGCCAATTTTATTTCAGTACCAAATGCCTTGGAGTTCAATTTTTGTTCGTGGGCAAAGGTGCTTTTCTACATGATCACCCGCATTAGGGGATCTCATGGAAAGCTGATAGAGGCAAGGGTGTTGTGTTCTCCAGCTCACAGAGCTCTCGCCAATGCAGCCATTTCATTAAAAAAAAGTGCAAAGCAAACAAAAAGAACAAAAGCTACTAATTATAACACCTTGGTGTCTGAAGATGCCCCAGTTGCTGATACAGCAGGCTGCCTCTGGCTTATGAAATAAGAATATTTTAAGGGTACTTGTTTAAAGTACTGGAAACTGTAACCCATCTATGGAAATGCCAATACATCCTGGGCCTGAAAACCTGTATTTTAAGCTTTTCCTCCCAAACCATATGCCTTTGATAGGCAGAGGTCAAGTGAATCCTATACCAACCAGCATGGGAATCCTCCTCCCTCTCTCTATCTGGAAAGTCATTAATTCTTGAAGAGTCCTGAAGAATGATGTTGATAAAATTGGAATTTAACTTTCTATTTCTTGGTTGAAAGTGTAAAATCTTTCTATACATGATTGTGTGTCCTATTTGTGCATTTTCCTACTGGATAAAGAAACCTGTGAATACAATCCTATATAATAAAAGAGAAACATGGTAATTAACTGTAACTTCGCTACCCTTCCCATTGGCTAATCAGGGCGATATGCAAATTAACTGCCAGCCAAGATGGTGGCCGGCAGTCAGGCAGCTGAAGCGAACAGGAGGCTTGCTTTCTCCAATGACGGAGGAAGCCAAGGTTCCCCGCCTGCCGCTGCCGGTCTCTGAGCTGCACTCTAAGAAACAATGTTGCAATTATAGAAGCTAAACAAACTCCAGAAACCTGCTTTCATCCGGCTGGGCCTCAGAGCTGGAGTTGCAACAGTGTTTCAATTATAGAACCCAAACAAACCCAGATCAGCAGCCGAGGTCTCAGAGCTGGAGCCAAGCCTCAGAGCTAAAGCCGGCTCTCAGTTCCAGTGACAGCTATAGAAGGTAAATAAATCACAGAATAAAAAAAGAAAAAAAGGAGAGGTTGGGAGCTTCAGTCACCCGCCAGCCTGAAAACAGCCCTCAGCCCCTCACCCAGACTGGCCAGGCACCCGAGTGGGGACACCCACCCTGAAGGGGGTGTGACCAGCTGCAAACAGCCATCATCCCCTCATCCAGGCTGGCCAGGCACCCCAGTGGGGACCCCCACCCTGATCCAGGACACCCTTCAGGGCAAACCAGCTGGCCCCCACCCGTGCACCAGGCCTCTATCCTATATAGTAAAAGGGTAGTATGCCTCCCAGCACCGGGATCAGCTGAGCAGCGAGGCCTCACTGCCCTGGTGTCAAGCGGAGCCGCGAGGCCTTCTGGCCCCTGGAGCAGTGTGACAGGGGGCAGCTCCCAAACCCCCTGATCACCCTGAGGCTCTGTGTGTGACAGGGGGCGGGGCCACAACCTCCCTATCCACCCTGCTCTGTTCGTGACAGGGGAAGGTGCCCCAACCCCCTGATCGGCCCTGCTCTGTGCCTGATAGGGGGGAGCTCCCCAAACCCCTGATCAGCCCTGCTCTGTGTGTGACAGGGTGCAGTGCCCCAATCCCCCCTCCACATGGGCCCTGCTCTGTGTGTGATGGGGTAGAGCCACAACCTCCCCATTGGCCCTGCCCTGAGTGAGACAGGGGGGAGTGCCCCAAACCCCTGATCGGCCCTGCTCTCTGGGTGATAGGGGGCAGCGCCCCAACCCCCTGATCGGCCCTGCTCTGTGTGTGACAGGGATGGCGCCGCAACCTCCCCATCGACCCTGCCTTGAGTGTGACAGGGAGCGGTGCCCTAATCCCCCAATCGGCCCTACCCTGAGCCTGACTGGGGGTGGCATCACAACCTCCCGATCCGCCCTGCTCTGTGCATGACAGGGGTTGGTGCCCCAACTCCCCAATCAGCCCTGCTCTGAGCCCGACCAGGGGCTGCACCTAGGGATTGGGTGCCCTCTGCCACCCGGGAGCGGGCCTAAGCCAGCAGGTCGTTATCTCCCAAGGGGTCCCAGACTGCGAGAGGGCACAGGCCTGGCTGAGGAACACCCCCCACCCCACCAGTGCACAAATTTTTGTGCACCTGGCCTCTGGTGTGTTATAAATCACTTTGGAGGTCAGTGTTGTAGGATGTAAGGAAATTATAGCATTATTATGATGTACATATTGCAAAAGCAGAGAAACCTCAAATCCTTTGAGCCACCAACATTTGCTGTATTGAAAAGGCAGAATTTCACATCAGCATTTTGAAAACAGGCTAGGTACATGTGGGCGTGTTCATGGCACCTCTTAGGTTGATTATTTGCAGAGTAAAATCTCCTTGGGCCATGTCAGCAACAACTTCATCTTTCCAAGTTCAAGTTATGGTTCTTTGATGACATTCTGTTAGACAAAGAAGACAGAAAAAAAAAAAAAATCCCAGTCTTTTTTCTTTACCTTTTTCTCTGATATTATCAATATGCAAAACCCAAGGCACAGAAAGGCCCCTTACATCTTTGTTAGTAAACAAACAGATCAGATACAATTCTATTCTTTTTACAAGAGGTGTGCTCTTTCTCCTCTTCTCCCCTGACTTTCTCTCCTCCAACTTGACAAGCTGATTGCAGAGGCCAATGAAAACATCCGTGTCTCTTTCAGGGTGAGAGCATTTGTTTGGCAATTGTGCGGGTGGCATTCCTGCCCTGGGGTGTCAAGTCCAGAGCATCTCTGACCAACAAGTGGCCCAATTAGAAACTGAAGAAAGCATTTCACCCTGGGACACCAGCTAATTTTACCGACTTTGGCTTTATTAGATTGACAGGGCAACAAGGAGAGGTGGTAGTGTCTGAGAGGATATGGAGACAGGGTTCATGTTTCCTCAAGAAGCAAGAAATGACTCTTTTTTTTTTTCACTTTTGTTGGCAAATTGTTGATCTTGAAAAACAACATTCACAGATTATTTTTCAGATTTTGTTGTTAATATTTACATTATTTTGAGAGACATTGCCCACATTTAATATCCTATAATATTTAAGGTGCCTCCAAAATTTACTTCCAAACCTATGCATTCAGGTAGGGCATTTAAATAGTTTTATTTCAGGTTTACTCACTCACAGCCCCAGGCCCTTGACCCTCTGCAAATGTCTTTGATGATTTTTTGTTCTCAGGAGGTACTTTACACATGCTCACCAACATGTTTCCTTATAGCTGGGCATCAGGGTGCCCACCTTTTCTACAGAGCCTTTCTCTTTCTGTCAGACTTTACTGTCAACCTTGTCAGTTTTTAAACTCTGTCACTGACTTAGGCTTTGCCACTGACTTACTAGATCCCTTATGGAGTCTGTGTCTGATCCAAAGTGGGGAGAATATCTCTCTTTTTCCCCCTCTTTTGGTGAACCCTACTTTGCCACTGGGGACAGAATCAGGTATTTGACCCATATTTCAAATAGTCCCTCTTGAAAACTGATGTCATCATTTCTCTTGGGAAGGAGACTTTTGTTTTATTTAAGCCCTCTTGACCTTGCTCAGTCTACTTTTGGGCCAAAAACAGATGAGAATTGACAGATAACAACACTAAATTCCAGATCATGAAAACTCAGATGCAAGGAGAACCAGACTCCTGTAGTATATAGGCAGACTTCAGAATCAGTTGTCTTTGTATGATTTGGGGTTTGGGGTAGCAGAAGAGGAAGCACACCACTTGTCCTCTTAACCTAGGTGGATCAACCATCACCTTACAGCCTTTGGACTCCTGACAAATCAAACTTGAGAGGCAAGACCAGGAGTGACAAAGACACATTTCTTCAGCTCACAGGGGCCACATTCAGGCCTGTTAGAAGGGCACAGATAATAAGAAGTTTCTAGAAACCTATTAATTTTTGCTGTATCACAAATCACCCTGAAATTAGTAACAGAAAACAACCATCCTTTACTCATGTCATAGTTTTGCAGGTCAACAACTTGGACTAGGCTCAGCTAGGAGATTATTCTAGCCTTAGCTGGGCTCACTCATGTTTATGTGGTCAGCCGTTGGGTTGACTAGGGGCTGGGTTAACTAGGATGACCTCGGCTAATGTGGCTCATTTCTGTTCCATTTGATTGTTCATTCTTCATTGATCTAGCCAGGGCTTACTTCCATTATGTCTACTAGGATTTCAAAAGAAGTTGAGAAGTCAGTAAGACTTCTTGAGTTCTAGGCTTGGAATTGACACACCACTACTTCTACTGTATTCTGTTGACCAACGCACATCAAAAGGTAGGTGAAAACTCAAGGGAAGGAGAAATAGTCTCCCTCTTGATGGGAGAAGGTGTGAATTCAATTACAAAGGCTTGAATTCATAGTGATTGAAGCACTATGTCATTTTTTTTCCAACTTATTTCAGGGCATGTTCTAAATAGACCTATATGTATTATTTCTGTGAATTGATTTAGACATGTTCTAAATAGAGCTACATGCATTATTACCTCTGTGGATTGATTTGTAAATTGAAAAAGCCTCACTTTTGTTTTGTTTGTTTGTTTTTGTTAGTGTCACTCTGAGTATATTTCTTATCTCTGAGACCCTAAGGGGTAATTTTGTCTAGACCTCATCTTGTAATTTACTGTGTAAAGCCACAAGGCTATAGAGAGATATGTTCAGAAATAAATGAGAGGAAAAAATAAAGACAAAAGTAATATATTTATATTGTATACATGCAAAAGAGAGGGACAGAGTAAAAGCGTTATTTAATGGAGGAAAATATAAGGGTAATGTTATGGGACTTTCATGTCTTATCTGAGCAAAAGAAAGAGAAATAGTTATTTGTGGCCATTTGTGGGAGTATTTACTAGTCTCTCCCAGCTTTGCTTTATTTTCTTTTACCCCTGGAGGATGGGGACTCTTCATGTCTTTGCTATTCCACTTTACCTGTCTTGCAGACCCTCAACTCTGTATCAGGCCTGTTGTCAGCTGTTTCTTAGACCTGAGTTTCTAGGCACTAATGGAGGAAGTGAGATGACTGGGCAGGTTGGTGTCACTGTTGAGTCCTCAGCTTTGTGTTAGAACCCTTTCATATGTAAGTCACTCTCTTTCCCCCTATCAACAATCCTATATTCCCACCATTATCCTCATTCTCTTATCTCACCTTTCAAAGAGAACCAATGATTTCATGTTCTTAACCACCTTCTCTCCACACATAAAATGATCTGAATAAGATCAAACTCTTCCAGAGTCTTGCTCATTCCGTGTAAGTCTTCTCTTTCCTATAACAAGCAAACAATTCAAATTTTGTTTCTACCTCATATGAGCTGCATGATGTCACTCTGTCAGCTTTTTCATGTGTAACAGAGGCATAATTAGGTAGAGTGTGAGAATATAATGGGGCTTTCCCATTTACTGCAATGTGCTTAATATCATATCTGACACATAGTTATCAAAAGCCATATCTATTTACAGTACTTGGGCCCTGAATTCCACCTCTCATATTTCCAGAAATTGTACTCAATGAGTTACGGTGAGCATTTTCTATATAGTCAATCTTTATCTTCCTTACTGGCTCAAGTGTGCTCTATATTTTTTCCTTCATTCTGATTTTGAGACTTTAAGTGACAAACCATCCCTTTAGATAATGCTAGGTCAATCTCTTTTTTTAAAAAGGAATTATATTTAAATTTTTAATTTCATGTATCCCAATCTCTTTAGGCATTTGCTTTATCTTTCTCCTTTTCTTCACAGCCATATACGTTTGATAAAGCTAGTTACATCTTTCTAATTCTTTAACTAAGTATAAACTTATAATCTATCCATAATATTAGTCAGCTTTATTCTATATGGAATACTCCAAATTCAGTGACTCCCACATGTAGGGCATGAGCCTTCTCATGGCAGAAGCAAAGAGTGGGAGGCTAAGCTGAATCAGAGAAATGCATGTATAGTTTTTGTTTGGATCTGACAAACAACACATCAGCTCACATTTCATTGATCAAACCAAGCCATATGATTTGATTGAAGTCAGTAAGATGAGAAGTATAATTCTACCCATAGAAAATAAATAAGCAATGGGGATGGAAGTTAATGTACAATGTTCAGTAGAACAATTTATCATGTCAGTCCACTAAAATACAGTCTTGATCGGTACCTAAATAATCACCTACTTACTAAATTGCAGGGCTGGTAGTGGTGAGCACACTTGGGTTTGAGTCCTTGCTACACCAATTATTTAGTGTAATTTTATCCTCAGTAAGAGTGTTTCCCTATTTATAAATGGGGTTATAGTTTCTAGTTCATGAACAACTATTTTGGAGTGTTGAAATATTATATTTAAAGCACTTACATAAATGTTAACATTGATTATATAGATCAGTGTTATCACCAGTTCCACTATCCTGTGGCAGGGACCAATATGAGTTATTTTGAAATGACAGTTGAAAGCTGTTTCTACATTGGAGGAGAAAGGCGATGGAAGCTGAAATTCATCTTTGAGAAGGAAAAGAGAGTGTTACCTTTGTTTTGAGAAGGACTGCTTTTGAGAGCCTTTTGAATTAACAGATATGAAATCTCAGACACACTGAGATGTTTGCTATTAGAATACTGTAAGATAATATAAACAAACTAGAGGCCCGGTGCACAAAAATTTGTGCACTCATGGGGGGGTCCCTCAGCCTGGCCTGTGCCCTCTTGCAGTCTGGGACCCCTTGGGGGATGACCACCTGCTGGCTTAGGCCTGCTCCCTGGGGAATTGGGCCTAAGATGGCAGTCAGACCTCCCTCTGGCAGCCCTGGAGCCCTCGGGGGATGTCCACTTGCCAGCAGGGAGCAGGCTAAGCTGCAGTCAGATATCCTTAGCGCTGCTGAGGAGGCGGGAGAGGCTCCCACCACCACTGCTATATTGGCAGTCATCAGCCTGGCTTGTGGCTGAGCAGAGCTCCCTCTGTGGGAGCACACTGACCACCAGGGGGCAGATCCTGCATTGAGCGTCTGCCCCCTGGTGGTCAGTGTGTGTCATAGTGACCAGTCATTCTGAGTGGTTCTGCTGTTAGGGTCAATTTTCATATTACCCTTTTATTATATAGGATAGAGGCCTGGTGCATGGGTGGGGGCCGGCTGGTTTGCCCTAAAGGGTGTCTCAGATCAGGTGGGGGTCCTCGCTGGAGTGCCTGACCAGCCTGGGTGAGGGGCTGATGGCCATTTGCAGGCTGGCCAGAGCCCCTTCAGGGTGGGGGTCCCCCCTGGGGTGCCTGGCCAGTCTGGGTGAGGGGCTGATGGCTGTTTGCAGGCTGGCCATAGCCCCCAGCCACCCAAGCTCCCAGTGGAGGCTGGCTGGAAGCAGGTATCTGGGGTTTATTTATCTTCTATTATTGAAACTTTGTTGCCTTGAGTGAAGGCCACAGCTGGCCAGGGCAGGCAGGAAGCTTGGCTTCCTCCATGACCAGGGCAACCAAGCCTCCTGCTTGCTCCAGCTCTGTGGCTGCTGGCCGCCATCCTGGTTGGGTTAATTTGCATATAGTCGCTCTGATTGGCTGGTGGGTGTAGCTTGGGGCATAGCAGAGGTGCAGTCAATTTGCATGCTTCTCTTTTATTAGATTAGATCAGTGATGGTGAACCTATGACATGCGTGTCAGAGGTGACACGCAAACTCATTTTTTTGGTTGATTTTTCTTTGTTAAATGGCATTTAAATATATAAAATAAATATCAAAAATATAAGTCTGTGTTTTACTATGGTTGCAAATATCAAAAAATTTCTCTATGTGACATGGCACCAGAGTTAAGTTAAGTTAGGGTTTTTCAAAATGCTGACATGCCGAGCTCAAAAGGTTCGCCATCACTGGATTAGATTATCCTTTTTCTTATGGGTAGTGGGTATCATTGTAGAAATTAATATAACATTACCTGAATGTTTTTACTGCTTCTTCTTGATTGTTCATATAGGGAATAATAGGTCTAGGACTTATGAGAAAAGAGAGAAAAAAGAAAAATTCAGATTATTGTTTTATGTGTTGGTTTACTAATTCTTTCATATATTCATTCAATCATTCAAGAGGTATTTGCAGTGCAGTGTGCTAGATTCTGGGATTATAATAATGTACAACCCCTCAGATATGGTCCCTGCCTTCTTGAACCCTTCAGATTCACCTCTGCTTGGAGAGGAAGCAAATTAGAGCATTGGCCATAGCAAATGCAGTGGCTCCGAGAGAGCTGCACATGGTAGAAGCCAGAGCAGCAGTCTGGGGGGAGAGATGACTGATGGCAGTCAGACCTGAATTGTGGTGTGTGCTGGAATCTACTGGGGACTCTCAAAGCAACTGCAACAATAGGAACCACAATTTAGGGCTCCTGGACACAGAACTGGAAGAGATTTGGACCTTTATCATTTGTATAGTAAAGGAAAGAGTGATGCAGAAACTTATAGTTATTGGCTTACTTGTTTACCTTCCTTTCTTCCTCCCATTCCCCATCCTCCTATCTCAACTACGAGACTTGAGACAATATCTTCCATTTCCTTTGTTACAATGTCCTAATATCTAACATAGTCCATGGGCACAATATGTGTTTGAAAATTGTTTTCTCTAAGAACAAATACATAAAATCACCTGGTCCAAAGATTTTATCTAGCTCCTGGATGTCTTTAAATATCAATGAGTTTGGGGAATTTAGAAAAGGACATACTGTGAAGTTGAGACTTTGAAACATGTGGCAAGATTTGAATGTCTGAAGTGAAAGGGGTGAACATGTGGTGAAGTCCTTGAACATGCAGAGGAGCTTTGTAGGTCATATGCTTTTTCCATAACAGGATCTCCCTCAACAGCAATAGCTATCACTTACTGAGAATTACCTTGCAGAAGTCACTGTTCTAGATATTTGACCTTCTTTCACTACCTGGCATGAACCATGCTAGAGGATGGTTGTGATACCATGTGACAGAGCACCAGCAGCCACACTATTCAAGTGAGAGTCAAAAGGACTAGATCTTCCCTCCCTTTTCCTGGAAACCTATTTTGTAATGATTTTAGGTAAACAGACTTTGTTTCCCAAATTTTGGTTAAGAAGAGCCAACATATAAATTGACACTACATTTAAATGGAATAGAATACATGTTGTCCTTAATGGGGTCCAGAATTTGATGGAATGCAATTGTCAAAACCTATAGACGCTAAAAAGAAATTGTACTCATTTTCTTTGGGGGAGAAAGTGAGAGGGAAGAAGGCAAAGGAAGGGACATTCAGTGAGCTCTGGTTTGGAAAGGTAAGTAGCTTCTGCTTCCCGTGGGGCTGCGCCAGGAAGAAGAGGCTATGTCTCTACAGTAGATTATCTCAAACGTTCCCCTTGCCTGTTCTGGGGGATCGGCCCTTGGGCATTTATGTGCATTTGTAGAGTGATGGAGGTTGTTTTTATTTCTATTTTTATGATATAGCTGGTACACACTATGTCTAATCCTGGAATTTATGTATTTGGGCTGACACATCAGTTCAGACGTTATGTCCTAGACATAAGCCCTGAGATCATGGAGCATGATGTAGTATTACAAGGCAGCAATGATTTGCCCAACCATTTACAATAGTTTTCTCAGGAGGTGGCCTCTTTGTCTCTCAAGGAAATGACAAAACATCAATGAGGTTTCAGTTCAGGGGCTTGGAAGAAACTTGGAATCTAACACTCACTAACTGACAGGGATATTTTAAGCTGAGACTCAAATCAGAGATTCTCCTGAGGTAGTTCGGATGCTTTGTTTAACAAAAGCAAACTATGAGTCCAAATTATTCATTACCATATTCATAAGTAGGCTATTTAGTAAGACGGTGTGGAGATAATAACAAAAACAAATATTGAATAAAGCTCTTTCCATGTCAACCTTTCCAGCATATACGGTATCTTAACTCATTGTTAGTCTGGAATCAACAGCTTAAAATTAATGAGCACATGCTCTTGATTGCCAGGTAAGAGACTTAAGAAATTGGAACTATGTAGCCAGATTTCCCCTGAGAGCTCTTCCTGTAGGAAAATGCTGGATAAAAAAAAAGTTGAATTACAATTCATTTTAAGTGGATTTGAACATTCAAAATATATCCTATATCAGTGATGGTGAACCTTTTGAGCTCGGCGTGTCAGCATTTTGAAAAACCCTAACTTAACTCTGGTGCCGTGTCACATATAGAAATTTTTTGATATTTGCAACCATAGTAAAACAAAGACTTATATTTTTGATATTTATTTTATATATTTAAATGCCATTTAACAAAGAAAAATCAACCAAAGAAAATGAGTTCGCAGGTCACCTCTGACAAGCATGTCATAGGTTTGCCATCACTGTCTTATATGGTTCTCTTACTTAAATGTAGTAACTCATACTAAATGAAGGTATCAACATTATTTGCCAGTATCTTTCCATTCTCTATTTTTTTTCGTATCTCTCATATTTTATGATATTGCAATTAGAATCTGAAGACAAGTTGCAAGTAATAATCTGGCTTGCACTTGCCTTTATATTCTCTTGAGTTTATACTCTCCTTTGTGTTTCAGATTTTTTGAGTAATTTCTGCGCCTACACTACTGCCATTTATAACTATCCAAATAGAAATGTTTCAAAACAGCTGAACTTGTTTCTCCTTGGTGAGGGAACTCATAGAAACATTTGTTGAAACGGTAAATTAAGATCTGTTGGGAAAAGAAAGTATTTTCTTAGTTCTTTGGAAAGAGCTGATTGCACGCAATCAAAAGAAAACTATTCATCCTTGATTATAAAATGAGGAACGGGGAGAGGCAGGTTTACCATGCAGCTAACGATGTTCCTGGGAGGGACACTGCAATGCATTTTCAAGGACTTGACTTTTCATTCTTATTCTTAGAGATGGCTCTCTAAATTGTCGGAGCCACACAAAACCTGGATCCACCTCTAGAAGCAGTCTTTGAATTATCAGTGTTCTAAAAAAAAAAAATCTCAGAGTTGAACTGATTGGAATGAGGAGGCCAGATGAACTAGTGGCAAGCTCTAAAGTCCTGAATATATACAGATACAACACATTAACATTTACTTTATACATGGTATTTGAATATACCTGAAAAGCCTTCTTCTGAAGTAATTTAAATATCCTCATTTATTAATATGGTGAATTTGATTTGTCAATCCTTTTATTTATAGTTGTCAAGGGAATGTTAAATGCCAAGAATCTGAGCCTATGGAGTCTGTATTGAAGACTGTTCTAACATACTTCTCAAAGGTATCTTCATTTTCATTTTTTAAAATTTATTTTATTTTTAATTTATTTATTATCCATAGTTATGGAGTGCGTGCCTGGGTTCTGGTGGGCATTATATCAAATATGGATTAAATGTTAATAAAAACAAGCCCTAATCAGTGAGCCTATTTTTTACAGTTCCTCACATTTTTTTTCAAAAAATTATCAGAGACTACAGTCTTTATTTATTTATTTTTTAATATTTTTTTTATTGATTAAGATATAACATATGTGTCCTTATCTCCACATTATCCCCACCCCCCGCTCATGCCCTCACCCCCCCGTCCTTCCCCCCCCCCCCCCCCCCCCCGTTGTCCGTGTCCATTGGTTAGGCCTATATGCTTGCATTAAGTCCTTTGGTTGATCTCTCCCCCTTATCCCCACCCTCCCCTACCTTCCCTCCAAGGCCTGACAGTCCAGTCAATTCCTCTCTAGAGACTACAGTTTTTAAAGTGAAGGCTCAGGTTATATCATTATCATCATTATCACTGTTACTCCTATTAATTGTGTAGCATCTGTTTTTTAGTAGTAATTCCCCCCATTACTTTTTATTGTAGTAAAAATACACATAACATAAAATTTATTATGTTAACCATTTTTAACTATACAGTTCAGTGCTGTTAAGTACATTCATGTAAAACTATCACCACCATCCATCACTAGAACTCTTTTTCACTAGCATAACTGAAACTCTGTACTCATTCAGCAATAACACCCATGATCCATTCACTTTCTTTGTTTTTTATTCTTAAAAAAAATCCCCATTCTGTTAATATGGGTTATAGTTTTGTGGATTGCTTTTTTATTCCATACATAAGTGAGATCATGTAATAGTTGTCTTTTTGTCTGACTTATTTCTCACACACTCACACACACACACACACACACACGCGCGCGCACACGCATGCCCGGCAGGCACACATCACGTTTTCTTTATTCCATTCATTCATTGATGTACATTTAGCTTGTTTTCATATCTTGCTATCTTATAAATAATGCTATAATGATCAGGGGGTGCAGATATCTCTTTGAGATAGTGATTTTATTTCTTTTGGATGTATACTCAGGTATGGGGTTGCTGGATCATATAGTGGTTCTATTTTTAATTTTTTAGAAACCTCCACACTGTTTCTCATAGTGCCAATTTACATAGTGCCAACAGCACACAGGGGTTTCCTTTTCTCCACATCCCTGCCAATACTTACTGTCTTGACCTTTTGATGACTGTCATGCTAACAGACAGGGGGCAATATCTCATTGTGATTTTAATTTGCATTTTCCTGATATTAGTGATGTTGACCATCTTGTTATATAACTGTTGGCCATGTGTATGTCTTCCTTGGAAAAATGTTTACTGAGGTTTTTGCCCATTTTTTATTTGGGTTATTTTTAATTTTTATTAATTTTTGCTATTGAGTTGTAAGAGTTCCTTATATAGTTGGGATATTAACCCTTTTTCAGATGTGATTTGCAAATATTTTCTCTCATCCTGCTGGTTCTTTTTTCATTTTATTAATTATTTCTTTTGCTGTGCAGACAATTCTTAGTTTGATGTAGTCCCACTTGTTTATTTTTTCTTTTGTTGCTTGCGCTGTTGGTCTCAAATCCAAAAAAAAATCATTGCCAAAACTATGTCAAGGATCTTTTCCCCTGTGTTTTTTTTTCTAGGAGTTTTATAGTTTCAGGTTTTATGTCTAAGTGTTTAATCCATTTTGAGTTGATTTTTCTGTATGGTGTAAGATAAAGGTCCTATTTTACTCTTTCACATGTGATTACCCAGTTTTTCCAGCATCATGTATTGAAGAGATTATTCTTTCCCCATTGTGTATGTTTGGTGCCTCTGTCAAAAATTATATGTTGACCATATATATGTGGGCTTATTTCTGGACTCACAATTCTGTTCTATTTATCTATTTGTTAATTTTTTATGCCAATATCATTTTGTTTTGATTATTACAGCTTTGTAATATAGTTTAAAATCAGGGAGTGTTGAAGCCTCCAACTTTTCTTGTTCAATTATTCTAGCTATTCAGAGTCTTATTGGTCCATACAAATTTTAGGCTTGATTTTTCTATTTCTGTGAAAATGCCATTGCAATTTTGATAGGAATTTCCTAGAATCTATAGATTTTTTTTGGTGGAATGCATATTTTAACAATATTAATTATTCCAATCTATGAGCACTGAATAGCTTTCCATTTATTTGTCTCTTCTTTAATTTCTTTCTTCTGAATTTTATAGTTTTCAGCATACAGATCTTTCACCTCCTTGATTAAATTTATTATTAAGTATTTTATTGTTTTTGATGCTATTGTAAATGGGATTGTTTTCTTTTTTTTTATTAAATCTTTATTGTTCAGATTATTACGTTTGTTCCTCTTTCCCCCCCCCCATAACTCCCCTCCTCCCAGTTCCCGCCCCACCCTCCGCCCTCACTCCCCACCCACTGTCCTCATCCATAGGTGCACGAGTTTTGTCCAGTCTCTTCCTGCATCTCCCACACCCCTTTCCCCCCCAAGAATAGTCAGTCCATTCCCTTTCTATGTCCCTGATTCTATTATAATCACCAGTTCATTCTGTTCATCAGATTATTTATTCACTTGATTCTTAGATTCACTTGTTGATAGATGCATATTTGTTGTTCATAATTTGTATCTTTACCTTTTTCTTCCTCTTCCTCTTCTTAAAGGATACCTTTCAGCATTTCATATAATCCTGGTTTGGTGGTGATGAACTCCTTTAGCTTTTCCTTATCTGTGAAGCTCTTTATCTGACCTTCAATTCTGAATGATAGCTTTGCTGGATAAAGTAACCTTGGTTGTAGGTTCTTGGTATTCATCACTTTGAATATTTCTTGCCACTCCCTTCTGGCCTGCAAAGTTTCTGTTGAGAAATCAGCTGACAGTCGTATGGGTATTCCCTTGTAGGTAACTGAGTTTCTTTCTCTTGCTGTTTTTAAGATTCTCTCTTTATCTTTTGCTCTTGGCATTTTAATTATGATGTGTCTTGGTGTGGTCCTCTTTGGATTCCTTTTGTTTGGGGTTCTCCGTGCTTCTTGGACCTGTAAGTCCATTTCTTTCACCAGGTGGGGGAAGTTTTCTGTCATTATTTCTTCAAATAGGTTTTCAATATCTTGCTCTCTCTCATCTTCTGGCACCCCTATAATTCTGATGTTGGTACGCTTGAAGCTGCCCCAGAGGCTCCTTACACTATCCTCGCATTTTTGGATTCTTTTTTCATTTTGCTTTTCCGGTTGGGTGTTTTTTGCTTCCTCGCATTTCAAATCATTGACTTGATTCTTGCGCTCCTCTGGTCTGCTGTCGGGAGTCTGTATAATATTCGTTATTTCAGTCCGTGTATGCTTAATTTCTAGTTGGTTCCCCAATATAAGATCGAGGGTCTCATTAGTTTTCTTGTAGATCTCATTAAGTTTATTGGCGGCTTCTAAACAGTTCTTGAGAGACCTTAAAAGTGTGGTTCTGAACTCTATATCTTCCATTGACAATTTTGTCCTGTTTCTTTGTCTCCTCATTTTGTTATGCTTCCTTGGTGCACCCCCTAGTGGTCTTTGTGCGCAGTCTTATAGTTAAACCTTGATTGTTGTAGCTAATACCAGGGAGGGTTTGACCTCCAGGACAAGTGGCTATGAGACTCAGCTGTGTCTGCAGTAGAGAACTTCTGTCCTCTAGGGAGGTGCTAATCTGGCGTTTGCCTGAGGCTATCCGGCAAATGCCTTTGTGCAGGGCTTGGGCGGGGCGGGTCGCACAGGATCAACAGGGTGGGCTGAAGAGAGCAGTTATGGCGGCTCTCAGTCCTGTCCCCAGGGGCTCTGCCTCTCTGAGTCCCAGCACCCGCTGCAAACCTCGGAGAGAAAGCTGCACTCGCTCTGACCGAAGCCAGACAGTCCCGCTTCTCCCGTTTGAGTCTGGTCCCTAAAGACTCGCCTGTATCTGGAGCTCAGAGTCTGCGACTCCCTCCCGATTGAAAACGCCAACCGCGCCCTCCGCCGCCAGCCTGCTCAGCGCACTCCGCACCTCAGAATTTGACTTCAGCACTGCGCCTCCTCTGAGTGTCCGTATGCGTTTCTCTTTCCTCCTGGTTGTAGGACTTCCACTCAGCCAGCGTTCCTGTGTTTCTGGGTGATGTCCCTTCCGTTTTTTAGTTTCACTTTTGAAGTAGTTGTTCAAGGCAGCAAACTCCGGCGTTAACCTATGCCGCCATCTTGGTTCTCTCCGATTAAATTTATTATTAAGTATTTTATTGTTTTTGATGCTATTGTAAATGGGATTGTTTTCTTAATTTCTTTTTTGGATAGTTTGTTATTAGTTTATAGAGACACAACTGATTGTTGCATATTGACTTTGTATTCTGCAACAAAGTTTACTTATTATTTTTAACAGTTTTGGTAGATTCCTTAGAGTTTTCTCCATATAAGATCATGCCATCTGCAAACAGATACAATTTTATTTCCTCATTTCTGATTTGGATGACCTTTATTTCTTTCTCTTGCCTACTTGCTTTGGCTAGGACTTCTAATACTGTGCTTGGATAGGAGTGATAAGCGTGGCACAATTGTCTTGGAAAAAGCTTTCAGCTTTTCACCACTGCGTATATTAGCTGTGGGGTTGTCATATATATAACCTTTATTATATTGATTTCTTCTGTATGCATTTTGTTGAGAGTTGTTTTTTACTGAAAGGATGTTGAATTTTGTCAAATGTGTTTTCTGCATCTATTGAGAGGATTATATGATTTTTATCCTTTATTGTTAATGTGGTATATTATATTTATTGACTTGTAGATGTTGGACTATAACTGCATCCTAGGGATAAATACCACTTGATCATGGTATTTATCTTAATGTGTTGTTGAAATCAGTTTTGTGCATTTGTTGAGAAATTTTGCACTTATGTTCATTAAAGATTGGCCTGCAATCTTCTATTTTTATGTAGTATCCTTGTCTGGCTTTGGTATTAGAATAAT